ACATAGACAAAGTTTCATTTAAATCGGAAACGTTCACGTCAGATATGGAGCTGTAGAGCTGTGCAAACAACAATATTTACGGGCTGATTAGTTACTTGGGCACTTCACCGAAGCTCTCGCTCCCCGTGCAATTATAATTCAATCGAGATACGTTTTCCTTCCCTGGAAGCCACGAAAACATGTTTCCCATAATTGGATACAATTTTTCATTTTACGCACCGACGCAAAACAAATTTGCCTGTCCTTCACCACGATTGCGCTTATCTGCACCCAACACACCCCTAAATATGCAAATCGACCCATACCAAATCGGTGAACATTTCGTCACCATGTATCAAAAACCACTTTGCCGTTTGGAATTTTGTGGCTTATTTTCCTACAACCATCACACTGTGGTGAGCAAATGGTAGATTTGAAATGAAGTCGGTTCGGTGGAACGCATTTACCTACCTGCATACCCACCTGGCCCCGACGTTGAGGGTATAGGTCGGTCTAGTACATCGATTCTCATCGTTGCCCCAGCGAGCGATCAAGCTCGCTCTTCAGCCCATCTTCTTATATATGCTTTTCTTTCAGTGGGGGTTCACGAGCCTCAGGTTGAAAATCGATGGTCTAGTAAAATATAATCAATCATGTCTTCCGCCGGTTAGTTGGTTGGGTCGAGTGGTAGGCTCGTCTTGCTACAGGAAATGGGAAGTAGGTACATCGTATTTGAGCCTCGCCTAATCATATTTGACACTTGATAGCATGGTTGGGAGGGGGAGTTAAATTGAATGTGTAAGGCATCTAATTCTGCATATTTCTACCCATTTATCATGGATTAATGCTTGCTGCTACGACGGAATTGATGCCTGCATGACGATGGGATCCGATCGCATGCCATGGAATTTAAATTAATCCTCATCGTGTTTATCCTTTTCGAATGATTGAGTGACATTAATAACATTTAGGCCAGCACATCCTAAACAAGATTATTGTTTTCATTTATCAAAACAAGCATTTTCAACAAAATTGTTGGGGGGGTAAGTAGCTCATCACCATCAAGTTGTATTATAAACATCACAGAAATAATGAAAAATTTAAGCAAATCTCCCATCCGAGATGCACTTTCCGTTCTCCAATAGGCTTAAACGTTTGGCCTTTCCCTTTAGTGCTGGGTGTCTTTGTCCTACACTGACAAAAGTTTTCACTTAGTTTCTATTAGGAACGCACATAGTATTTTTCCAAAAACAAAAACAACGATTTTTACCTAAATATCACATAGCATTAGAAATTCTATATGAGAAATCATATAGATTTCATTGGACACATAACGTTCATGTGATTTAGTGGGGCAATTTCCAATTATGGGATCGCATGAAAGTTATGTGAAATTCACATGGATATTTTCCACTGGTTATGTGATTTATTTTACGAGTGTAGGTCACTCGGCGGCATACAGCCCGAGCAGAGTCTGAGATCAAATCGACATCGAAATTTGAAGTTGTGATGTTCTCAGCAAATATGAAATGGCTCACTAGTTCTACTTTCAATGTGAGAAAAATGATGAGTGGAAGCAAAAATCCAACAATGTTTGGAAAATAAAGCGAAATGAAAGCAATATTTGATATTTTTTTTTATTATGGTTTCAATGTGATAACATTTTGCTTTTATTTTAAATGCTCGTCTTTACTCGGGAAGCCTGTCTATGCCGAAATCGTTCTCAGCGTCAAGGGCACATAGTCCGACGGAAAAAAAATGCCTCCCGAGGGATGCAACGTTCTTGAAAAATTAATTACGAAAATGTGACTTCAATTGCGAGCCAACTCTGCCAACGAGCGAAAATGTACTATCCGGGTCAACGAAGAATTATACCACCTTGCATGGGACCACGGTCAGCTGTTGCGGTCAGAAAACGATTCTCACGACCTTGGCGTAAAATTTAATCCCTATCGGAATGGCTGTCGCATGTTACATCATTGCTTCGTTTGGTGTTATGAAGATGCATTTTTCATGTCGTTTATTTCGTAAGGAATCTCATTTCAATAAGATATTCCCATCTTGCTTGGTATTTGAAAATTATATACTTGTTGAAGATTTACCGCAGCTTTAATGTTCAAGTCAATTTTAAATGCAACGTTATCGAGAAACATGGTATATCTTACGAAAATTCGTATTGTTTGTGCAGGCACCAGCGAGTTCTGGATCGTTAATCAAATTCTCGTTGTAAATTTTGAGTAAATTAAGAAAATTATAGATTGAAATAAACCCTTCTACATCTTATGTATTCATTTAATGGGTCTCAAAAGTCTAGATACAGCTCCCATGAGAATATATGCTTGACGGTGTCATTTTAAAAGTTGTTCTCCATCTCTTAACTCCAGCTTTTAAACTAATTTTTTACTCAGAAGCTAAAAAATATGTAACATATTTTTAAGTACCGTAAAAAAAAAGGGTGTTACATGGGCCTGCCCCAAGGCTCATGTCTCAGCCCTCTTCTTTATAACTTTTATGTCAAAGATATCGACAACTGTTTGGCAGAACAATGCACGCTAAGACAACTTACAGATGACGGTGTGGTTTCCGTAAGAGGTCCACATGCCGTGGACTTGCAAGGACCATTGCAAAATTTCTTAGATAACTTGTCTTCTTGGGCTAGGAATCTAGGGATCGAATTCTCGCCGCAGAAAACTGAACTGGTAGTGTTTACTCGAAAGCGGTACCCAGCCCAAATGCAGCTTAATCTTTTGGGCAGAAACATTACCCAATCATTGTCTTTCAAGTACCTTGGGGTCTGGTTTGATTCGAAGTGCACTTGGAATACCCATATTACGTATTTGAAGCAAAAATGTCAGCAGAGGATGAACTTTCTCCGTTCAATTTGCGGCACATGGTGGGGTGCTCATCCGGGAGACATCATAACGCTTTATAAAACAACTATTCTCTCTGTTCTAGAGTACGGCTCTTTCTGCTTTCTCTCGGCAAGAAAAAGTCACCTAATAAAATTGGAACGAATTCAATATCGTTGTCTGCGTATTTCCCTTGGCTGTATGCACTCAACGCATAACATGAGTCTCGAGGTTCTGGCAGGAGTAACACCCCTCCAGAACCGTTTCTGGTAGCTCTCTCTCAGAATACTAATCAAATGCGGAGTGACGAACACACTTATAATTGCAAATTTTGAAGAAATTCTTGGGCTGAACACACAATCTCGATTTATGAGAATCTACCACCACTACATATCGTCGGATATGTGTCTTCCTTGTTATACTCCAGACCGTGTTCACTTCACCAATCGCAGTTCCTCAATTGAATATGATCTGACCATGAAACAAGCAACTCATGGGATTCCCGATCAACTTCGACCTATTATTATCCCACGTATTTTTACTGAAAAGTACCAACAAGTCAATTGCATGAAAAGATATTTTACAGACGGGTCCCGTCTCAATGGATCCACTGGCTTCGGTGTCTTCAATGAAAACTCTAGCGCCTTCCGCAAACTTCAGGAACCTTGTTCCGTTTTTGTTGCTGAGCTGGCAGCAATCAACTTCGCATTGGGGATGATTTCCAGTATGCCCACAGACCATTACTTCATCTTCTCGGATAGTCTCAGTTCGATTGAGGCTATTCGGTCGATGAAACAAGGTAGGCACTCATCTTATTTCCTTTCAAAGGTAAGGGAGCAGATGAGTGTACTGGTCGAAAGATCATATATGATTACCTTTGTATGGGTCCCCTCACATTGCTCAATCCCATGCAATGAGAAGGCGGACTCTCTCGCAAAGGTGGGCGCGCAGGAAGGCGAATTATATGACAGGCAAATTTCACACGATGAATTTTACCATTTAGTGCGTCAGAGTACCCTTTCGAGTTGGCAAACCGATTGGGACACTAGAAATCTTGGACGGTGGTTACATTCAATTATTCCTAATGTTTCTTCGAGAGCGTGGTTTAAAGGCTTGGGCTTAAGTCGTGACTTCATTCGGGTGATGAGTAGACTTATGTCCAACCACTACTCGCTAGATGCTCATCTCAATAGAATAAACCTCGTGGACAGCAACATCTGTCGGTGTGGAAACGGTTACGATGACATCGAACACGCAGTTTGGCAATGTACGGATAATGACGCCGCCAGAGAGCGACTTTTGAATACCCTCGAGGCCCAAGGAAGACAACCCTATGTTCCTATCAGAGACGTGTTGGCTACCCGTGATTTCTGCTATATGCAGTCCGTTTATGTGTTTCTTCAAATGTCTAGTATAAGAATTTAATTCCTTTGTCTTTTGTCTCTCTTTATTAGTTTTTGTTTGTCTTGTCCCCCGGTCTCGATGATTCTCATCGTCGCCCACTGGTCACCATAGCCGGTCGAACTCCAGACGAAGCTAGAACAGCACTACCATTCATACTGGCGACAACGCTCTGATGAGACAACGAAACCCTACTCCAAGCTCCTCCCCTGATCCTATCCTTCAACAATGTACCCCTCTAACCTCGAGTAAGCCGCGAGTAATCGGCCCAACTCCTACTAGACATAGAATTAAGTGAATTTTGTTACAAACAGTGAACAATGAATTATCGGCTCCGTTAAGCTAACGCGATTGAGCCTTCCAAATAAACGAAATGGATAAAAAAAAGTACCGTAAAACGAGGTAATTTTCGTAGATTTTTGAAGTAGGCAAAATGGATGTAATGTCGGCCTAAATGCTCCTAATTTGGGCCCATACAAAAATTCATCAAAAGTCTAAATTTTCAATAGCGACCAAAAATGTCCATGAGAACCGTCCAAATGACGCGTTCATCTAGATAAAATTTATAAATAGCAGATTTTTAGCGATGGGCCCAATCTTAGATCCACAGCCCAAATTAGAGCCACTTCCCTACATGCTAAATAAATCAACTCTACAAATTGAAATAAAAAATCCTGTGTATTATTTAAAATTCACTAACTTTTATTAATGTTGGCGAGTTGGTCAGAGCCCATTGCAAGCTATTGAATTTCATTCGGATTAGAAATATATTTCCAGAAAAATTGCTTAGCAGTACTTCCAGCCAATATCTGATTTGAGCCAATAAAAACACCTTGTGACACATCTAATCACACTAACATTTACTAACTGGATCATTGGCGGATGGTAGTGAACAGGAGTGCTATTTCACCTATACGAAAAATCAACATTACAGTTGGTGATGCTTCAGTAAGTTCCATGCAGAGATAAGAGAAACTGTTACCGAATTAGGAAATACACTTTTTGTTTTGTTTTTATCGAGTCCGTAAGCTTATGAAATTTTGATACCACATCATCGAATCGGTATCAAAGTGAGCAAAACGACACGCATCGATAGCTGCCCACTTAGATATGCGATACATTCCTACCAATTTGGGCTAACAGCACACCGTAAGACTTACCAAGAGCATCGTAAAACTGTTTGAAGATAAATCATATAAAACCATTGCTCTCGACCAGTGGAGAGTATCATTCGATCGTGATCACTAGCTTGAATCACATCTGGGAAAGGTCATCATGAAGGTAAGTCTTATTTTTGGGTTTGTTGAAAATTGCGATCAATTAATCCAATCTTTATTTAAGGCACTAAGCGTAATCGTTCTTGCGGTATTCGTCATCTCCAGTGGAGCAGCAGATGACTCCAACCAGAAGGAGAAACGTAACATTGAAGAGTATGAGAACAACCAGCACGGATTAAGGCAGGAATTACCTCGTTCGGAGTACAGACATCAGCCGAACCGTTACAACCAGCAACCGTTGGAAAAACAACCTCGGCAGTACATGATTCTAGTCAGTGAAGAGGAATACCAACGTTACAATAAATACCACCAGAACATTTGGGAATCTCAACGAGTGCATAATGGTTACAAACATTTTAACCATAATGACAACTATCAGGTTAACCACGTTCCCGAACCTCACAGGGAACTGATGAAACAAATCCTCTACCAAGCCGTTCCTTATCCTGTTGAAGTTCCCCGACACACTCAACGTCCTCAGAATCACAGAGACGAAGAAGGTTCCGATGCTGCCGTTGAAATCCAGAGGAGCATTCCAATCTACATGGAAAAGCAGATCCATTACCAGATGAACCACCCCAATGCTGCCCAGGAGCAGGTTGCCGAAAAGCCAATCTTCAGAGAGGTGAAGGAGGAAAACCGACTCCCACAGCAAGGTGCAGTTCATGGCGAACGGCCTTATCCCGTGTTCATGCAGTATCCGATCCTGATCGTGAAGAATAAACAACATCAGCAGAAGCCCACGTGGCATTAGTGTAGTTGTTACCATTGTTACCGTTGTCAAGGCATTATCAATCAAATAAATTATTTATGAAGCCAGTAAATTGAATTACACCGGAAATTGTTTACTGGAGGCTTACGCCATGCAAACATCAACATAACTGCTCCTTGGGCGCTACTTGAGAACAGCAGAGCAAATCGTATTCTTCTGCAAACTGCCTTCGGAGGGACTCAAATTCTTTTGTGGCAGCGGGCATTACTTACTTCTCGTGGTCCCATTTATTGTGTACCTACCAACCATTTATATTTATGAGACGAAGTTCAGTGTGCAAATAAATTACAGACCACCATCGGCATCATCATTTTCGCGCTTCCTGTCGAGGAGCTCGCTTTCCGTTCCACCAGACGATGGATGTGTGTTGCGTTTGAGTGCGATGATTGCTGTTAGGGTGGTTCAAGTTATCCATATGATCAGTTCTAGCGTTCAGAAACATAAGCGCCTAACTGTGACGATCGGTTCTCTTAACTGATTTTCTCTTTTTGTTAATAGCTCGGCTTGTTTCACAATTTTCGGTGCGTTTGATGTTGCCATGCTTTTAGTACACTGTACTGGACACTTTTCGGATAATTGGTTCACTTCACTGTGGCCAGTGCTGTAGATTTTCATATCATTCGAATGAAGATGAACCAATACAACAATTCAATCAATTCTGCGTCTCATCGTCACTGTCAATTGAGTTACTCATTATCAATTGATATACGGCTGTGGAGTATGGAAGAAACCCAGACAAATTGTCCCAAACAGATATGTCGACCCGATTCCGGATCAATTTAAAACCAATGTCAACCCAATGTTGGGTCAAGTTAGGGTTTATGTCGGGTCAACATCGGGTTGGGGTCTGGGGGAAGTCAGGTTGGTGTTGGGTAAGCTTAAATTTTTCGCCGGAATGTCGACCAGAGCTCCGTTTGTGTGTACGATACACTCAATTGAATTATATCAAGGGTATCTTAGCGGTGCCGGTGGTGTAGTGGTAAGCGTGATTACCTCTCACCCCAGCAGGCCTGTGTTCAATCCCAGTCGGCGCCGCCGAGATGTTCTGAGGCATAACATCTCTGATCACGCCTTCCTTCGGAAGGGAAGTAAAGCCGTTGGTCCCCGGTTCATGAGTTGATGGGTCGATAGGTAGGGTCCATCAGGTGTGGGAACTGCATTCCAGGCGTCGGTAGCATTAGTGCTCAGCACGGAAAACAAGATCGACGGAAAACAAATCCAGGAAAAAAATCAAGGGTATCTCAAATGAGAATGATCCATGCCTTCGTGAAATGACTAAGCAAACTATTATCACCCATTCGAAGAAGACCCCTTTGATAGCGGATAGCTGCTTTTCTCATTTTCATCAAATAAAGGGTGATACGGTCAAAATTTGGTCAATATCAACTTGACGTATTTCTTTCAATTTTGCATTTAAAAAACCTGAACAACCCTCATTTTGAAGGTGTGTGTGTGTAGAATGTTGCTCCTATTTTGATTTTGGAATTCACTCTTCAGTTGTCAAAATGCCGTCCAAGCAAGAAGAGCAGCGTATCAAAATTTTGCTCGCGCATCGCGAAAATCCGAGCTACTCGCACGCAAAGTTGGCAAAATCGCTAAAAGTTGCCAAATCAACCGTTACAAATGTAATTAAAGTGTTTGGGGAACGTTTGTCGACAGCCAGGAAGTCTGGATCGGGGGGAAATCGAAAACCGGAAGCCGCTGAGACGACAAAGAGAGTTGCCGGTAGTTTCAAGCGAAACCCTAACCTCTCTCTCCGAGATGCCGCAAATAAGCTGGGTGTATCGTCTACAACCGTGCATCGAGCCAAAAAACGAGCCGGACTATCGACTTACAAGAAGGTAGTGACTCCAAATCGCGATGATAAACAAAATACGACGGCCAAAGCGCGATCCCGGAGGCTGTACACGACGATGCTGACGAAGTTTGACTGCGTGGTAATGGACGACGAAACCTACGTCAAAGCCGACTACAAGCAGCTTCCGGGACAGGAGTTTTATACGGCAAAAGGAAGGGGAAAGGTAGCAGATGTTTTCAAGCACATGAAACTGTCAAAGGTCGCAAAGAAATATCTGGTTTGGCAAGCCGTCTGTACCTGTGGCTTGAAAAGCAGCATTTTCATAGCTTCCGGGACTGTCAACCAAGAAATTTACGTGAAAGAGTGTTTGAATAAACGTCTGCTGCCTTTCCTGAAGAAACACGGTTGTTCCGTACTGTTTTGGCCGGATTGGGCATATTGCCATTACGGTAAAAAAGCCATGGAGTGGTACGCCGCCAACAACGTGCAGGTGGTTCCCAAGGACAAGAACCCTCCCAACACGCCAGAGCTCCGCCCAATTGAGAAATACTGGGCTATTGTCAAGCGGAACCTAAAGAAGACCAAAAAAACTGCTAAGGGCGAGCAGCAGTTCAAGGCAAACTGGCTTTCTGCGGCGAAGAAGGTGGACAAGGTGGCTGTACAAAATCTGATGGCAGGGGTCAAGCGTAAGGCCCGGCAATTCGGATTTGGAAAAGCGGAAGCCTAACTGAATATTTTTCCTGAATTTTATACTAATTGAACTTGAAAAAGAAATTTAATTTGATTTTTTAAATAAACGATTTCACCGATTTACACGCGTTTTCCCTTGACCAAATTTTGACCGTATCACCCTTTATGTTTAATTGATATTGAGAATTTACAGCATTGACTGTGACAATGGGAAGAGAAAATCGATCACCGCAGTTAGGCCCTTATGATTCTGAACGTTGGATTTAATAGCAATCTGACTTAGCGATGGTCATTCTGAAGTTTGTAAAATTGGAATTATTGTGAGTATATTTTCAGCTCAACACAGTTGTCTGGACAAAATAAGTGAATAGTATGGACTGATCTAATATATTTTTATGAACGCATGATAGGGTGCAGCGCTACTTGATCTCAACTAGAGCGCTAAGTTTCATAAACAAATCAATGTACCTTATTGCTTAGTACTATTTTAAACGCTAACCGATATCTTGAAACCGCTATCTCTTTATATTTTGCTGTTGGGTTGTCAAACACATGCCAAACGAAGAAAACCTTACCTTCGCATCGGTCCAATTGGACGCAAAACCCCAGTATGATGATGATAGCTCATAAATAAGAGAGCGAAGTGAGAAAATTTCATGGCATCGGTTTTTCAACGCATTCAAGGTACCGACTTACACCAGTTGTTGACGACGACTAGGACGTCATCGTGGGGCCTGAATACTGACAAGCTGACAGACTACGGCAATCTCTGACTTCTGCTATAATAATGGTGCCATGGAATGCGTTCTTTGTTGTATCTGGTTCACGTCGGATTCTCTGGTGAAAGGGGATAAAGTGTTGAATGTCTTCAGTTTTTCTTTCATGATAAAAGGAAAGCTTTGCGAAGCAAGATTGTTGGAATATTTTACGTCTCCATTTTCAACGGAATAAATTGAAGGCGGGATGGCAGGATGTTTCCTGGAAGCTACCTGTTGCAAAGTTTCTGTCTTTTTTCCAAATTGAAAGTAATTGTTGCTGTACTTAAGAGGTTTTACTCTATTGTGCATTCGCCATTTAATTGAAAGTAATTATCAACGTGAATGTAAATTCGGAAACTGTAGTATTTACATTAAATTAATTAAAGAAAGATTAATTTAATTTTGTTCTATTTGATATGGGGTTCTTTTCGAGGTGCCATAATAAACGACCGAATACAAAAATGGAACGCATATTTTGGCGATTTTAGCCATTAAAGTCACCTAGGTGACTAATCTGCACCTAGACACTATTTCACACGACGCCGATGATTTTGAAGCGGTGCGCCGCCGTGGCCATTTTTGACACGCCGCCGGTATAATTTTTACTACGCCGACGATGTAAAGGCTTTAATTTGCTTCTATATGTTATAACAAATATGTCTCGCAAACTGAACCAAATTGGAAAATAAAGCAAGCATGTTGAAGAAAGAGACGACAAGCCAAAATTGGATCAATCGGTTATCTGTTAAAGTCATTCCAATCTAGCAGACAACCTCTTTACCAAATTCAAGCTCTTTTGCAAGTATCAAACACGTATACCAGGGGTAAACTACAGCTAAGGGATAAGCGTTATGAAAACCCGAAATTAGCGAAACATAACGAAATGTTGGCCTCAAGCCTATGAAAGCTCTCGCAATTTGGATTTTATCAGTTTATTATTAACATGTGCTTCTGTAAGACCCTTTGAATTGAAATTTTCGGCTTATTTACTTCAGAATTGTCCGTACCGTAAAACGGGGTATCCTTGATAATGCGGGTAACTTTGATAGTATAATATAAAGATTAAAATTAGTCGCTGTAATTTTTCCAAACTAGAAACATTGGTTCCATATTTTAGCTTAGGGTATTTCCTTTCATATCGTATATAGTTTTTATATAGTATTTGTAAAATATATTACAAACATATTAAAACACAATTTCGTGTTTTTCGCCTTTTTGAAAAAGCACTCAAATAATCACTTGAGTATTTCCGATACAGCCATCACAAATTCAATGTTGTATTCTTATTGCTTTTGAAGTTTTCTGATTATATACTCATTCAATGTTTCATATTTAAAGAACTAAATTGTTTATGATTCATTCATTTTTTTTCAACATTCATCGAGCATTATCAAAGTAACCTCAAATCAAAATTCTGAAGTTCGGTCACAAAACTAAGAAATAGTGTAAATGCTTTGATTTTCGTTCAACATATTATCAATGAATTAACTCTTGGATCCTCAGTACTTGTTTTAAAAATATAAAATTTGAAAAAACATTCATTGCAGTAAAACATATTTAGAATATACTTTCAAAAACTATCAATGTCACCCCGTTTTACGGTACGCATAAATTTAGCTCAGACGCATTTTTGCCTAAACATTTTCTTCTTCTGGAATAACAATCAGATACTGCAAATATTCTGGCAAGCAAAATAATTTTCCTTATATTCAACTTTCACAATGTTGCTGTTTTCGTAACCATACATAACATTTTCGGGAAATTCCGAAAACTTCCATTTTATACCACAAAACCTTTCCAAAGCTTCCAATCCCCCTGCATTTTGATTGAATCCAACATGTTTTCGATTTTGACGTTC